TCTTGCCTACTCGGCCACTCAGGCGGATTCGAATATTAAATAATTTGTTGTATAGACATAAAAAATGAGATGAGAAATATGAGTTGAGACCGGTCCAACTGGAAACCGCGACTGGTTATTTCTTCGGCTTCGGGAAAGCCGAAGTCATGACTGTTTCTTGCAATAGCTATAGAGTTATTTTAAGTGATTATCGTGAAAGAAGGGAGAAGCCATCGTAAGAGCGTATTTATCTGTAATTAGGTGATAAGGTAAAGACCAGATTTGAAGATAATACGCCAGCTGATATCCCAACAGTTGTTGCTATGGTATAAAATTTATATGGGGTTAGGGGTTTTCTTCATCATCTTGATCCCTAATCACCGCATTTAGCATAAAGCGAGTTTTTCTCTCTTTTTTTTTTTTTTTTTTTGTCTAAGCTAAAAATTGGAACAATGACAATTTCACAAAGAGATTTAAATTGTGTTAAAGGCGTGGCGTTATCGATGGGAAACATATTTAACTTTATAAGGAAATTGGGTAAAAAATGAATTTAAAATTGAAAGAGAAAAAAAATTAAAAACATGTGATGTTTGCCTCTCCAATCGGAAACTTTTCAGCCGACCGTTATTTTGTAGATAAGAAGAAGAAGAAGAAGACATTTTCCTGTTGATTAGATCTATAAAATATAACTAATTGGTATCGATAATATTTATTTCAAACACTTTCAGTCGATAAAGTTGGATTTCGCAACATAAGCGATAAAGCCTTCTTGCGAAACAAACATACGCATGCAGCATGCATACAGGCCTGTTATATTCATCGTGTCCTTATCTGTACGCTCTACGCTGAACGCTGTATGCTTTTATTTCCATAACAGTACATAGCCGTATATATATATATATATATATATATATATACATACATTATATGTGCGCATATATGTGTGGCAGTTTTAATCCGTTTCACAACAGAGGATAGCTTCTCTTAAAACCAATGTAAGCACTTGAACGGTATTTCAAGTTATTGATCCCTATTATGCAAGCTGATAATCAAATTTATTACATACCTCCTCCTTCATACAAACAAACTATCATTATACATAATATAGTACTTATTGATTCACTGGATAGAGAAAATATATATATATATATATGTGTATGTGTGTGTGCGTTCATATCATGCGTTAAAATGTTTCCTATAAAATTTGTACAACCTTTCAACATTCATTAAAGATTTTCATTAGTTTGATTGCCAATGCATTGCATTGGTTTGAGTTGATTTCTTTTCTTTCCGTAACGGAAGCAACGATGAAATCTTTCGAATGAAAAAGTATTGTGTGTGTGCATGCGGTAAACTATGAGCTCTTATTTCAGAAAATCTACTTTATGTACACGCATTTTTTTTACCTTAAACGGGTCTTTTCATAGTTTAATTCATCATCATTTTTTTATTATTTTATACTTTTCAGGTGTAAATAAAATTTCTTATGTATGCCGTAGAATTCACGTTATTACATTTAAACTTCAAGGTTAATCTTTGAATGAAAATATAAATTACTGTTATAGCGTACTGCTATTTGCGAGATTAGATAACAAAATTTCCTCTTTTTTTTTTTTTTTTTTTTTAATTAAATTTAAAGAAAATCTTTTCAAATACGCACTAGCACAATCTAGCGCTTCCAGTAATCCTTTTCTAGACTTTTCAGAGCCCATATATTTTACAATATATTCATTTTCGAATGAATCTTTGAAACCTAGTACCTAGTACCATTTCCTAGGCAAGGTAAGGCTCTATAAAATTCGTAACTGAATTCCATATGGATCGTTGGCGACGTCCTCACCAGAGGATGACGGGTATATATATCATTTTGGTAAAAAACTTTGCAACGCCCAGGAGGAAGTTTCGTAGACCCCCCACGAAATGTATATTTTCTTAATCAGCGTCAAATTCTGAATCGATTTATCGCCACTACCCAATATTTTAGTTTGTCTGAATGGAATTTTATTTTTCAATATCTTTATGATGGGCAGACGCAAGCTTCAAAAAACCCCTAAAGTATTTAAATTCTTGGCCAGTGTCAAATAAGGAATGCACCTAAACATGTCCGCTTATTCGCTTGTCCAACTGTTCATCTACGCAGCTCTGTAGTATCTTTGGTGAACACCCTCTCGTTAGCGAAAATTAAGATATCGCCTACAAACTTCCATAAGAGTGTGAAAATGATTTCCGTGTTCGAATGTGTTCGAAGTTTTCACGCCTACAACGCCCACGCGGCTAAATGACAAAAATTTTTTTTTTTTTTTTTTGAAAATAAGAGATGGGTGGGCTTTGCGCACCTCAGATTATAGAGTGAGAAAATTTAGTTCTTTTATTTATTTTTGTCCTCTTTACGATAACGGCGACCGGTAGAAAAGATACGGTCACGACTGAATATAATTTTCTTACGTGTTCAATTTTAAATTCGTGACTATCATCAGGCATGTTTTAAGATAAGCTTTCATAAAAAATAAAGCGTTCATCTTGCTCCAAGAGTTAATTGCATTGACTTGTTTATGACAAAATAGCCATCAGACTGTTTACGCGATGACAGTTTAGTCTTCCATATTTCAAATTCGCTAACGCTTGTTTACAAGCGACTAAAACATAAATGCAAACAAGTACTTTCCTTCAGTAATATGTCATCTGCATCTGCAGATTCAAAATAATAAATGGGCGTCTATATCGCCAACAATGGTGTAATAAAATTATCGCGATGACCCGTGTTTTTTAAACACATTACTCACTTTCAGAGCGACCTATCTACTATTTCTGTGGCTCTTACCTTCAATTCGATCCCATCATGGAGAAGTCGAACGCTTGCTGTTTGTTCACCTTGTAATCATGTGCCTGAGTAGACGAGCAGGCAAATTGTCTCGACTAACAACTCAAGTGCCGTGGGTTCAAATCTCAACTACGCTAGAGTTTTCAATGAAGCCGATAGCCTTCGATGCCAGTGCTTTAAGACTTTACTAAATTAAAGATAATACTAATAATAATAACAGCATGCAATCTGCTATTATGCCGCAGTCCGGTTAACAATAGGTCTGTGTATTATTGGGACGATCAGAAAAGTTGTAGTATAATGTCTGCTTGGCATTGCTGGGTCGATATCTGTAAATTTGGAAACCACGGGGGAAAAGTTGCATCGCATCCCACGATGCCTGAGTAGTCGAAACGCAAGACGACCTGGACTAAAATAGCGTAGCGCCGATAGCTTTAAGCAGTACGACCGCAGGTATTTTTAATGCCGACGTGGGCGTGAGAGAGACGCTGACTGCCGCGTACGGTCCTTCGAGGAGCATCGGGATGGCTATGTGGAGCATACACAAGTTCCGATATCTGGTACACTGGCCTCGTTGTCAGCTCTCTAAGGGGCGTTAGTTGTTTTGCAAACTTGGGAGTGGTGTGTGTGTGTTAGGGGGGGTGGGGCAAGCCTTCGCTTACATATTGCTCGTAAATCAATGTGTAAGGTCTGCTAAAGCCATCCAGACAAGTGTAAATGTAAGTTTCAAAGATTATCCTTAACTCGAATGTATGTAAAGCCTGCTATTTATTTTGTACCCCCTCTGTATTACAGCTCTTGCCGACCGTCAGGGGCATTTTCTCGTATATGCGCTGCGTTCACAGCCATAACAATAAGAAAAAAAACAACATAATGAATGGGGTGCAGTGGGATAAGTATAGGTATCGGTAATTTGGATAAGTGGCCTATCATTACTTCTTAGATTAATTACTTTTTCTGCTTTGAATATGACTTGGTTTCCTTTCAAACATATTTCATTTAACTTTATAGCTTGGGATCAAAAACTTCCAGGAATTATTTTTTTGTTCCCATTTGCCATCTTCGTCTATACATAGTTCTACATAAAAGACAAAGTTGCGTTATTCGTTTTTACGGATCACTTTTCATTGCACGAAGGACGTTACACCCGGCAAATGCTATCAGTATGCACTACTTACCTACCTATATGCGATATTTAAGTGAAAGATATAAGATCCATTCGCTCGATATATTTATTGCGTATTGTATATATCCCAAATGGCACTTTTACGCACTTATTATTGAAAGTTAATATGGTATTTACTAGTTTTGACTTGGGTTACAATCTCTACAGTTTAGGTGAGCTTTTACCTTAGACAGCTACGAACGCTGGATGGATAATTACATTATTCACATTATACAGGATAATTAAACGCTTTACAAACACACTCCCTCGGTCGCGCTACGCAAGATATTCTAAAGTTTGTATATATTGGCGTTCATGCCGCGTAGGAATCTGAAGCGATTTAATCATATGCATGTGATTCCCAGAAAGTTAATTATCGCAGCGATTGGGATAAGAAGTTGAAAATCGAGCTTCGAAAAAAAAGTAAGACGCATACAAGCACTTTGGTTGAATAAGTTCAAAAGTTGGCATAAGGATTTAACCCCAAAAAGGTCGAGACGATAGGTATTCATTGCAGTGGATGCATTTCCAATTGAATTCCACAGATAATAGCAATAAAATAAAAATTAAACAACGGGTTTGACGCAGTCTTTTTTATTGGGTCTTTTGAAGAGTTTTTGATGTTGTTGTAAATCGCTTCACACCGGAATCAATCAAATGAATTTTGTCTATTTGTCTTTATCTATAGAAAATATTTTATAGCATAACACCGAACTTCATCCAGTAAATTATTATAATCGTTAATGTTTTTTGACCTTATTATCGAACTATCGGACAATTGGTGAAACTTTCGACGCCGTTTGAAAACAAAAAAAAAGAAAAAATCCAATATAATACGATATTATATAGCTTTATTATCACTAAATAAAAAAGTCTGATAAAAATTTATCGAAATGTTTTAACGCGCATTATAATAATTAGATAGTCGAAAAATGTCTCCTTCTTTTTTGTTTTTTTTTTTTTTATTTGCTGTATTTACTGTCTGTTCTAGTTCTACTATATGTTATCTGTTTAGTATTTAAAGCATTTAGTTGATGATATTTTCTACAATTGTTTCACGATCATAATGCGCGGTCAACTTGTACTTTTAGCTTATTGCCTATTGAGCAGCCTTTGTCTGCTGCATACAAATGCAAAGAAATTGTTTGCCAGATTCGAAAGTGTTAAGGCTCTTGATGATAACTTACTGGCCCTTCCACCCGCTATAAAGGAAAATGACGTAAATAAAGTTTACTCAAGTAATGGTATGAAATTTGTTCTAATATATATTAATCGAATAATCGAATAATCGAATAATAATAACAATAGATTTTTCGGATTTCTTAGATTGTCAGGTGGCGGTACGTGACAGTTTTCCTGATCCTCAACCAGTTTTCTTAAATGAAAATGTTACAGATTTCCTTCATGTCTCCGATAAAGATGGTGTAATGAATATTATCGGCGGAAAGACTGTACGTATGTGGTGTCCGAAGCAATTTAAATCGATTGCCTCTGAATTAATAAATGTTACTTGTATCGGAGGTAGTGTCTTCATGGTTGATAGTCAACTTTATAATTTTTCGGACTTCACTTGCAACTCGTGGCCCAGTTTCACAGCCCAAAGGACAGCAGAAGCATGCAATGAAGGCATTTTAATACGCGTTGGTTTCGAAATTTCTTCAAAGCATTTCGTTGAACAGATGCGAGTTTGTTTCGATGAAAAGCAAGAGGTAACACGATACGTTCATCATTCTTTAGGACCGGCTAGCAATTACTTTCAAACTGGTATTGATCGCATCCCGTTTCAAACCGGAGATTTCTTTGATGGCAAAAATGTGGATAATCTCTACACTCAAGTGAAGCAGCAAGAAACTATTTCTAACGCGTTAGGCGACGATGTCGGAGGCAAATTTTTTAATATTTCGAAAAATATTTATTTAGCACGAGGCCATATGGCTGCCAAGGCAGATTTCGTGTTTGGAACTCAACAACGTGCAACATTTTTATTCATTAACGCTGCTCCTCAATGGCAGGTATTTAATGCCGGCAATTGGGCGCGTGTCGAAGACGGACTTCGGATATGGGTTTCAAAAAATAGAATCAAGGTCAATTGCTATACTGGTGTCTACGGAGTTACGTCGCTGCCTGATCAAAATGGTGACGAAACTTCGCTGTACTTAGCTTATGATTCTAATAACAATGGCTTGATACCGGTACCCAAGATATATTTTCGTGTCGTTATCGAGCCATCTACCAAACGCGGCATTGTATTTATTGGCGTCAATAATCCACATTTAACTATAGAACAGATTACGAAAGACTACATCTTTTGTGACGATATCAGTGATAAAGTAACTTATTTAAATTGGAAAAAAGATGATATTACTCTCGGATACTCCTATGCGTGCACAGTCAGCGAATTTCTTAAAAATGTTCCAGTCTTACCATCTCTGGATGCCTCTGGTGGCTTGTTAATCTAAATCCTATTAGTGGAATCATAAATTTTTTGATGCAAACATTAAAAAAAATAAATAAATAAATAATTAAATAAGAAAATAAACGATAAACTTTGTATAGTTTTCAATGAGCTTATTACCAGAGAGGCAGAGAAGGAGAGAGAGAGAGAGAGAGAGAGATAGATAGATAGATAGATAGATAGATAGAGAGAGAGAGAGAGAGA